AAATCCCCGATGTCAAGGTGCCAAACTGCGCACTCAATTTGTACTCTCTGGCGCAATTAGCCTGTTATCCCCAGCGTAGCTTTTTCAATAATACAAGACCTTTCCTTACTGCGTCTTGCGGTCTTTATGCCCTGCTTACGCAACTGATAGACGTGTATGTCAAACAGTAAAGCAAGATTAAGCCATTAAACTTTGGAAGTATATATCAACATCATTTTTCGTAAAGAAAAATAACTAATAGTGTTATAATTCATTCGATATTCCTTATTAATACTATATATACACCTATTTTCCACATAGGTAAAATCTTACTTATATTAAATTGTTTTAGTTCTAACTTAAATAGAAATATAACTGAATTAGTTATATATACTTTATTAGAGTAAATATAAAAAATAACAAACTAAATATAGTAATTAAAAAAATTAAAATATATAAGGCAATTATTAAATAAAGCCGTATATAATTAGCGTATAGCATATTACAAAAATAAATTTGGATACTCCCAGGTACTCTTTATGGGATCTGTGCCCCGCATAAACCATCTGCTAGCCATTGTCTCCTGAGCTTGATGCAATCTCCCTCCTTTTATGGATTACATTCAGACGTCAGCTACAAAAAATGTAACCTATTCTACTGATATAACAACCAGAGTAAAGGTGTTTCAATTTTATCGGTCAACTACCTTATTCGCTAAAACCTGTTAAATTATACCCTATAACTAGTAACAGTAAAGCTGCATGGGGTCTTCTCGTCTATCTAGAGATAGGCAGTATCTTCACTGCCATTCCAGTTTCACTGAGCCAATCATTGAGACAGCTGTTGCATCGTGAGATCATTCATGCGCGACATCATTTAAATGCCAAGGTATTTCGCTACCTTAGGACCCTTATCATAGCGGATAAAATTTATCATACAAAAACTGTATACCAGCGGGGGGCCGCCTTTCCCTTTGGGGGAAGGCGGCGCCCGGACCTATTTTCTATTTAAGTTCATATTACTCTTAATAGACAATACTTCATTAAATCCTTGTTCAGTTAAATGATTTTTAGATTTTACAATGTTACTTACTTTTTTAAAGTCAATAAAGTCTAATTCCTTAGCTCCTTTTATTTCATAAATTTCAAAGAAAGGTATTATAACATTTAAGATATCTGAAGTATTTACAATTTGAATAGCTACTGAATGATCAGTGTAATAAATGTATTTATTAAGTTCAAAATTAAAAAACTCAGCGAATCCTTTAATTACTTGCTCTTCTCTTATGTGTAAAGTAACAGCAAATCTTAATTGTACTTTACCTTTTCGAGTTTCTGTAGTTTTAATGTTAAAACTTCCATCTCCACTTACGAAACCAGCAACTCAATAAGGACTAGGTATACCATTAAATTGAAATATATCTTTTTCTTTAGCCTCGGCGCCATCAGCCCTTAGGGCTGAGGGCTGAGGCTGCGGAGCCGATGTAATTACATTTGCAAAATTTTCTTTTAACTGATCAGATAACCCTTTGTTAAGTAAACTTTTAATATTCAGTAACCTAGATATACCTCATTCAGATAAATGTTCACCAGTTTTAATAAGATTAAAACTTTCTTTGAACAAAGCATAATCTAAACATTTAGCTGTTACTAACGGATATTTATCAAAGTGATCTATAATAACAACTAAATCTTTGAACGATTCTACTCTATAATAGACTTTTGTCCCTGAAATGTATATATTTCCAACACCAAACCAAAGTTTTATATCTTCTAATATAGCTAAATCTTTTTTATGTAGACCTATAGCAAATATAGCTTTTACTCTTCACTTTGTTTTACTATCAGAACGTGGTTGTATTAATATATTAAAAGTAGACTCAGCATCAGAAAATCCTGTAATAAACCAAGGATTTAATTTGTTTGAAACATTAGTATACGATCTTTTTTGCTTAGAAAGGATTTTTATTTGATAATTTCTCTCGAAACCCATTAGAGTACACCTTAAATATGATAAATTCTTATCATATCAACTACCGTCTACTCGTTGCTCTTTTACAATATTATACGTTTGGCTTGTGGGTCTATTGTATAATATTGACTTAGATACGCGATTACCCATTTCTCTTTCGATCATCATTTGGCTTGTTACCTTCTCTGAGTAATTAGTTCAGCCACTCATATATTTTCATATACGGCTTGGTACCAAATGTTTTAGGATTTTCCCGTAATTGGATAGTTTGACCCACAAATGAGATATCCTACATCTCAAAGCAGGTAAGGCCGCCATTAAATGGGGGTTCCTTCAAAACCTAGCCTATTTTAGTCGCCTAAGTAAATCCGTTAACCAGCCATCATTGGGCAGATAGCGCACTCTATACATTGATTTACATCTTACGCAAAGTGCTGTGTTTTAATTAAACAGTCGTGCAACACCATTTTATGTCTCCTCTTCCTAAACTGATATTAATCAGTAGGAATGGCACACCTTCTCCCTCAGTTACGGTGTCAATTTGCCGAGTTCCTTACGTCCACAAATTCATCCTAAATATCAATTTGGTCCAAATTTGACCATAGATAAAAAGGAATAGGCTAATGTGGTATTTTAATTTAACAATTTATTATTTATAATAGTTCTCCCTACTCACTAAAACATACAAAAGTTAAATAGTGAATAAGAGAGAAAAATTGAAATATGATTACTATGCGTAGTTGAATTGTTCCTAACTTATTATGAACACTACACATTTAATTATGGGTATTAACATTATGAACGTTTAGTATTCATACCACCTTTGATAGTACGAATTTGGTCTAAACCTTCTTTAGTTAGATGAGCTTTTAATTTCATAAGATCAGCTACTTTTATATAATCTGCTAATTCTTTTCTCTTAGCTCCTTGTAAATGTGCTAAGAAAAAAGGTATTACTTTTTCTATAATATGAGAAAGACCTGTAACCATAAAATCTATAACATCGACTTTTTTAGATTGACTGTAAAGACCACCACAACCAAATAATTCCATAAGACTTACTAAGAGTTCTTTATTTCTTTTATCCTGAGTCAGTTTGAAAACCAACTTAACTCCTTCTCCTGTCACAGTATCTTTTCTTTTATAAATGTTAATTGTAAAACAACCTTCTCCATCTACAAAACCAGCTACTCATTCAGGATCATAAATTACAGGGTCTTTTATCTTAGGTCTGTATACAGGTACGGTATTAGGAAATGAAGCCTTTAAATTACCCGATAGTTTTTCAAAATTCATTGAAGCCTTAATATTAACTATTTGTTGTAACCCTTTTTCACTCAAATGCTCTTTTCTAGATATTATATCAATAATTTGTTTAAATAATTCAAAATCTGCACGTTTCTGTGTAAGTAAAGGATACGTATCAAAATGGTTAATAATTAACATCAAATCTTTGATCTGAGAAACCTTGTAATAAAAGGCTCCATCGTTACGATCTATTACCTGACCTACACCAAAAAAAATCTTTTATTTGATCTAAAAGTACTTTATCTTTTCTATGTAAAGAAATCTGAAATAACACTCTTACACTTTTTCCTAATTTAACATCTGCTTGGTTTACGATAGAAACATGGAAACATCCCTCTGCATCAGTAAATCCCGATACAAAGTTGGGGTTTAATTTATTATTTAATAGATTGTATTTTGTAATAGTTTAATTTTTAATAAATATGTCGACAACTTAGTGTCGGTACCCTTGACAGACCTTACTTTTTCCGCATCCTATCCATGTATGTTTAACCTTGGATTTCGTATTTTTAATCGAGAATGGCCTTTTATCACTCTCGGGATCTAAGCCATAGGTCCTCACCGTCGCTGTTAAATTATGAGCGACGTATGGAGCACTACAACCTCTACCTTCTTGTGAAAGATATAATACTAGTTTGCTTCAAAATATTGCCCTCAATGTATACCTCCGTGGGTCTTTGATACAGAATACCAAGCTCACTTCTCGGGTTACTAGAGTCTTCATTGTTTTTTATAAAAACAATGAGCGAAACTAGACCGGCCAACTACCCTCATTTGGCAAGTTGATTGACATCGCATCTTGCAATTCATTAATCCTATTGACATCGATACGTGGGGTGTCAGCCCAGCCGCACACGATTAACCCTTCGAAGGATAGTCGCTTGTCGGTATTAAGTCTTTTGCAAGAATCGACTTTGGGTACATGCTAACCTATATAAAATAGGCATCTAAGTATGTTAAAACAGTTAGTTGCTTTAACTATGCAAAATGAATAACCCAAATATGTAAAATAAATTGTTAAACCCGATTTTCACCGGCTACTAGAGTATACCTTACAGTTATAATGCTTTAATATTAAAGGTTTATAACTGAAGAACCATCTACTCGTTGCTCTTTTACAGTAATTATTTAAAACATTACTGATTTAGATCCGCGATTACCCATTTCTATTACTAGAATCTTTAACGATATTACTATATCCCTAGTCATTAATAGGGCCACTTAACTGTTACCAGTTAAGCTTAGTTGTTAAAGCTTTAGGGCTTCCCCGGAATTTGGTTCTTTATCACAAATATTGAGAAACCTACTCTCATTTTATGATTGTTAGCTCAAACGCCTTCGTATTCTCTACTAGCTTACTTGTGGTAGTTTTTAGGTACGGTATATCAAAATTAGTCAACTGCTAGGCTCATCTATTTTAGTTTATTGCCTATTATTAGTAATAAGCTTTTAGCTTACTAATCTGTTTTAGTTAATTTACTATTTTAGTATTTATACTAATTCTATATGCTTTTTCCAGAACATTCTACTCCGTTTCTTTATGTTGTTGCATATATTCTCTCATCATTTTATCCTTTAGGTTTAACTTAGAGACCGATTAACTTTTTTATTATGCCATAAGCTTAAGGCGAGAGGGACCTATAGGGCATCGCCCTTTTCTTTATAGGCATCCTCTTTTTCGTTACTCGTGTCAGCATTCTCACTTGGGATATTTATGGAAACCTGCAATATCTAACAGGCGCATGTATTGGTTTAACCTATACATTGTAGTTAATGAAAATTTAATCTGTTCTCCCTTTTCGGTCTTATTACCCTTCGAGGGTGTCGTTCAGATTCATATGAATCTGAACGAATCTTTTCTTCCTTGGGTGCTACTCCTGCTAATCACCTTAAGTCACTATGACCTTTTTCTAAGGTTACTTGCATTAAAATCTATCATGTGATTTCAAAATACCGTTATATGAAGACCTTTGCCTCATACCTTTCACAGGTGCAAAGGGTTCTGACAATTGTAGTATAATCTACATGGTACCTTTCCCCCTCAGCGCTCAGAAATACCTAGCCTCTTTTTCTAATCCTATTTACCCAATGTTCCGCTACCCCATAAATAATACTTAAATAACCATTAAGTATATTAAAATAGGATTTAACCTAATATTATTATTATGGACAAGGTGTCGGTGTTTTGTTTTAGATCCGTTATATCTTCGGCGCTTTTAACTAACTAGGTTAATTACTTAACCCTTTGAACCAGTGCTCTGTTACGCATAACCATCAGATTTATCATATATAACATGAAACAAATAATACTTGCAAATATTTAGATTGATCTATAAAAACCTAAGTATTAGCACACTATATTTTAAGGGTAGGTATTGACCTTATGTCTATAAAGCTATGCAAATGAAAAATAACCTTAGTCAATCTCTCTAAATGTGTTCATATTAGATTTTAATAGTCTAATTTTTTCTAAGCCTTCAACTTTTAAGTGATCTTTATCACCAACAAGTTTGGCTACTTTGCAAAAATCCTGAAAATTATCCAATTTAACACCTATTATGTTATACTTTTCAAAAAACGGAATTATTTTATCAACAATATCCGAAAATTTGGTAACTTTAAAATCAATAATATCTCCACGTTCAGAAATATAACCACAATCTAAATAACTAACTAATCTCTCCATTAAAAACTTATCTCGAGCTTGTTGAGTTATTTGAAATCTTAATTGTGTTTGATAACCTTTTGCATGACTAGAAGATTTAAATACTCTAACATTGAAACTTCCTTCACCACTGGTAAACCCAGCAATTCAATTAGGATCAGGTATTTCTTTAATAACTTCACATCTACCCTTATTAAGTTTAAATTTAGGGAAAGCTTCTTTAAGTTGATCAGGAAGACCTTTATTAATTAAAGCTTTTATTTCCACTAATTTTATTAAACCTTCAATAGTAAGATGCTGTTTATCTACAATCAATTCATAGGCTTTTTTGAAAAGTAAAAAATCAGCTCACTTTTGAGTTATTAGAGGATATATATCAAAAAACTCTATAATAGCAGACATATCCTTAAAAGAATATACTTGTAATTCAACTGAATCTGGACGACTTTTAGATTTATAAACCTTTCCAACCCCTAATGTGGATTGAATTAAATTTAAAATCTTTTCATCTTTTAAGTGTAACCCTATTTGGAAATAAAGTCTAACAGATAGAGGCATAGTAGCACCCAATCCATTATTTTCACTATAAATAGAAGGAAGTAAATGGTTTCCCTTGTAATTTTTATTTTTAATAATAGAAATACGGAAACAACCTTCAGCGTCTACAAACCCAGCTACCCATCAACAAGGTAATTTTGTTACCTGTGATACAGTACTAAAATTTCTAGTGAACTCCAAGTCTCTTTTATGTATAGAATTTATTACTTGTCTCTTATTTACTAAGAAAGGATTCTGACTCGACTGTTTCTTTCAAAACCCATTAGAGTACACCTTAAACACAAAAGAAGATCTTTTATGTCAACTATCGTCTACTCGTTGCTCTTTTACAGATATTTTACTATCTGACTTAGATCCGCGATTACCCATTTCTCTTTCGATCATATTCTGACTTGTTACTGTACCTGAGTAATTACTTCAGCCACTCATATACTTTCGCATATGGCTTAGTATCAGAATCTTTAGGGCTTTCCCCGGAATTTGATAATTTACCCCACATAGATGATATCCTACATCATCCGGTAGGTCTTTAAAAAATGGCCGCTTCTAAGCCTATTTCCTGGTTGTATAGTTTAAATACTTCCTTACTTTCACTTAACAAAAACTTTGGAACCTTAAACACTTGTTCTGGGCTGTTTCCCTTTTGACACACACAGATCTACCTTATTTTATCCTTATTATCGGACAGAGTGAAGGTACTTCTCCCTAAATAGTCATTATAACTATCCATTTAGACAACAGGCTAAACCTGGTTCAGTGTAAACTGAAACGAAAGTAACTTTCTAATTTTTTTTTTTCTAAATTTTACTTGTAAGAATAATTCTTACGTGCACGCAACCTTTACATTTTTTTTAAGAGGTACACACCTTTAACGGTTGAACCTCTTTTGATGGCAGAATAAACTGCTTGCCTAGAGATACCCAGAAATTCACCAGCTTCAGTTTGATTGGTGAATTGTTTTTCAATGTTTGTTTCAGTATTTAAAACTGAAACTGCAACACCTTCACGTAGAATGCTTTTAGTTTTTAAATTTGTTAAAGCCTCTTTAGATAAAGGATTTAATTTTCTATAGTTAGCTGTAGCTACAGCTAGTTTTTTTCGAGTTTCCTCACTAACTTCTTTACCTTTATGAATAGAAGATATAAGCATCTTATGCTCTGGGGATACAATTTTCTCTTTTAACTTTGCTATTGTCTCTTGAGTATGTTTATATCCTAGCACAGAGAAAGCGAATTTCAATATATTATACTCAGGTATTAGTAAATCAAGGTAGAATTGTTCCCTTTCTATAAGATTTGTTGTATCACAATACTCTAAAATTTCTAGTATAAAATTCTTATGACCATACTTTAATAAAGCATCTGTAATTGGTCTAGGACTTCTAGTTAACTCTTTCATATTGTAATAATTACCAGCACAGCAGCCCCAGTCTTCTTTTTTTATATTAAAAAAGAAGACGCGAGGGCTAATCTTTTTTTTAAGTTCACAGCACTACCCACGTAGGTATTACCGTTAATTATATTTATTCAACGATATATACCTGATTTACCTTTATTATTTTTTAATGCTTCTGTTTTCATTTCTTCCGCATTGCTATATGTTTTAATAGGAGATACTATCTTAACCGTATCTAAAAAATTTTGATTTCTGTTATTATTGTAGTTCACTTGTTTTATAAAAAAATTAAATATGTCGACAGCCTAGTGCTTGTCTCATACCAAGCATGGGTCATGAAAGTTTAAACTTATCACGCTCATCTCTCAGATCATCAGTGTCTCCACTAAGTCCGGCCAAGTACCCTACTTGACAAGCTGTTTGACATCGCATCTTACAGTACCTTAACCCTATTGACATCAATTGTATGGGGTGTGAGCCCAACTACATTTGATTCCCCTTCGAAAGGAAGTCGCTTGTCGGTATTAAGTCTTTTGTAAAAGTCGACTTTAGATTATATTGTTTTAAATTAGAAAAAATTGTTACTTTCTTGCCATTGCACTCTTTCGAGTGAGGCTTGACTATATCTTAAGCACTATTTATTAGTGCCAACTCACATTTAGTCGATGAACTGCACACCATAATAATCTGTTTGGACCCCCCTCTTTTGAGGAGGGGCCTAAAATTATTATGCTGCTTGGCTGCGGATTACCCATTTCCTTTCGTTCATAAATTTCGATTTTACCATACCACGAGTCATTACCTGTGCCATAAGTTATGTTACCATACTTACTTGGTTGAAATTTCTTTAGGGCTTTCCCGTCAATTTGAAAATTTATAGCAAAAGGTTCACTTTCACTTTAGGCTGCTTATATAGATTACTCAAGCCTATACAACCTTATCGTTAAATGTCTGATAGTTCAACATTCATCATTGCCCTTCCGAGAGCAAATACTCGCGAATAGAGTCTTCACGACCCCCCCATATGCACAAGGCACTACATACCCTAGTAGGTATAAATACCCAAAGGATACTCATGCACAAATTGTCCGAGATTACAGTTCTGTACCTGCTATGATGTTATTTAAACTACATACTTACATATGTTTCGCGGAAACAAATCTACCTCTTTAGCCTTTTTGTTGAGGCTGAGCTAAGGTCCTTCTCCCTAAATAGCAAATAGCTATCCATTTAGCGAATAATAAAATACTTTTTAATTTTTTGTGGTCACTAAAAATTGTCCTTTTACAATTCTACCTGTATCAAGGGCTTTTCTAACCGCTGTTCTACTAACACCTATTGCTTTAGCTGCATCCGTTAAGCTTGCATAATGTAATTCTGTGTCAGTTTTTACATTTTTTACTGTAACTGATACACCAATGAGTGCTATAGTAGCGGCTGAAATTCTTGCACGAGTTTCATCTGAAAGTTTAATACCTCTACGTGCTATATATATTTTTGTTTTATCATTTTCAGTCCATATTCTACCTGTTGCTGCCTACGATAGATTGTTTCTTGTTTCCTCACTCACCTTACGATCATTCCTGAAAAATTCTAGGGTTTTTTCGCTGTGTTTGAATCCTAAAGGAGTTAGAAAAAAAAGTAAAAAAATTACATTTTTTTACTTTTTTTTCTTACTGCTATCTTTAAAATATTATATTCAGGTTTTAAAAGATCAAAATAGTATTGTTCTCTATTTACAAGATCTGTCCCATTCTCACAGTACTCTAATATTTCTAGACTAAAATTATTAAATCCATACTTTAAAAGAGCATTGTGTATGGGAGTTTTATACTTAGTTAAGTGTGTAATACTAAAGTACTTGTATAACCTTACAGTCAAGTTCGCTGAACTACCAACATATGTTTTATGATTAATATTATTAATCCAACGGTATATAGCTGGTTTATCTTTATTATCACGAAGTATTTGGGTTTTGTCCAGTTCACTGTTATGGTATATAACTACAGGTTTTAAACCTGAAGAGTTATTTACTGGTTTTGTTGAATAAGGACGTAGTCCTATAGATAAATGTAGAAAGAAATTCATGTTAGTAGCTTTTTAATTATTAAAATGGTGGAAAAACATATCCAATTCCTATAGACTCTATGCTTTCATTTATATCTAAGGTTAGGGGGCTGGCCTTCTTAAGACCCGAGTACCTTTCTACGGTGTACCTTGCTTCAGCTGTACGGGTATTTATTCACGATAGTCGTCGGCTATTATTCAATACAAGATCTAGATATAAATCTTATATGAAGGTAATAAAGGATTGAATATGGGCCTTAAAGGCAGAAAATTTATAGGGACTAATGTGAAAAAAAGTATTTTTATTATTCTGCACCCTTTCGGGCGAGGTTTGACTATATCTTAAGCTTGCGCCAACCAACATTTAGTCGATGAACTGCACACCATAGTCTGTTTGGACCCCTCTCTTTAAGGTTTTAGGAGGGGGCCTAAAACGACTATGCTGCTTGGCTGCGGATTACCCATTTCCTTTCGTACATCTATTTCGATTTTACCCTACCACGAGTCATTACCTGTGCCACAAGATGTGTTACCACTCTTGCTTGGTTGAAATAGCTTTAGGGCTTTCCCGTCAATTTGATGGTTTATAGCAGAAGGTTAACTTCTACTCACTGGCCTAAAAATATGCTCAATATTTTTTTTTACCAGCTATAGTAGTCAGGTTTGTCTTTCACTAACTTACCACAGTTCTTTGGATATCTTTACAACGATACAAATTATCTCTTTGACCATTGAATTTTCTTTATTCCATTTTAGGTCGAGCTGAGATTTTTCTCCCTAAATAGTATTTTATTACTATCCATTTAACAGACAATATAATTTTATTTTTTTTTTGAAGCTTTTATTTAATTTTACAGATAGAATACGTTTTTTTAATTAGTCTATTATGCAACAATGCTTGACTTACTGCAGCTCTTGACACACCTAGTGCTTTACCTGCCTCAGTTAAGCTAGCATAACTTGTTACATTATTAGTTTTTATATTTTTAACACTAATAGCCAATCTATTAGCTATAGAAGCATTAACAGTAGAGAGAGTTTTTCTCTCTCTTACTTCATCACTTAGAATAATGTTTCTCATTTTTTCTAGTGATTCTTGAGAATGTTTATATCCTAAAGTAGACCCCGCGATTGTAGCTATATTGTAATGAGGTTTATAAAGATCTAAGTAATATTGCTCTCTTTTAAGTACATCTTCATAGGAACAATATTCCAAGATTTCTAATCTAAAGTTAGAAAACCCATGTTTTAAAAGAGCTCTATCAATAGGTCTATTACTTTTTGCTAAAGAACGTAAACTAAAATCTCTTACTTTTTATGTATTTTATACAAAAATCTTGAACCCGTGCTTAAATCAACCTCTATAATTTTTCATTATCTCTTCCTTTATTCATACCATTCTTAATGCTAATAATTTCATTTATCCCCTCTGAAGTCAAATGAACTTTATTTTTAATTAGTTCAGCAGCTTTACAGAAGTCAAGATAATTAAGTTTTTTACAACCTATTAGAGGATACTTATCAAAAAAGGGTATTATCTTTTCATTAATATCCCTTAAATTTGTAACAATTAAATCTGCACAGGGTTGAGCTGGACGTTTTTTAACTTGCCCACAACCAAGTAATTTCTCAATACTGTTCAACAATAAAATATCTCTTTCATGTTGAGTTATAGTAAATCTTAATGAAACTGATTTACCTAATTTGTTAGTTACAGAGGTTGAAACCCGTATGGCAAAACAGGATTCTCCTTCTGCAAAACCTGCTAATCAGTTGCAGTCCAATATAGATGGTAATTTAAAACAGGGTCTCTCATAAATACTGGCACCAGGAAAGGCTTTTTTAATATCTTCACTTAAACCTCAGTTAATTGAGGCTCTAATAGCTACAATTTTATCTAACCCTTCCTTTGTCACATGTTCACCGTTATTTATTATCTCTACAGCTTTTCTAAATAGATAAAAATCCGCTTTTTTTTTGACTTATAAAAGGATTATTGTCTAATATTTTTATTAATTTATTAACACCCTCGAGTGATTCCACGCGTAAGTGCACTGAATCCTTTGTTTTATATATTCTACCTACACCTAAAAATGTACATATATCTTCTAATAATAATACATCATTAAGATGTAGCCCAATAGCAAAAACAGGTTTAATTTGTCATCCTTGAGAATACCTAGGATCTTTACGCATATAGACCGAGAAGCTTCCCTCAGCATCTATAAAACCAATAATAAAAGAAAGATTGGTGTTTAAAGCCCTCCCGCCGACTTCACAAAGTCGGCTGGTCTGCTCCGCAGATGAAGTGTACATCCTAACGCTTTTAATACACCCCTCGTAATTTAATGTAGTTTTTAAATATGTTAACTCTTTTTTCTGTCTCATTTCATTAATAATAATTATATAATTTTCCTCTTAATCACTCTTGTGTTTTAATATATATCTCTTAATTTGTTTTTTGTTCACCTTTAAACAAGTACCCTGTTTAGAGGTAACTCCTCCTTTAAAGTATACTAGTTGGTTATTTACTTTAATCATAGATGTACCATCAAAAGGGATTTTGGTCCTTCCTAGATCGTCATTATCTAAATATACTAAGATTTAGCATTATTTGTTCGAAAAATCAATATTTAATAATATAGCTCATTCTTGTGAAACAAACTCCTAAAATACTAAAGCAAATCAACCTATATTTATACAAATAATGGAGTCATATCTCTAAACAAAAATATTAATCTTTTGGCAAACTTGCTTTGTTAATTGGTGCCCTTAACAAAATATTCATTGGGTAGTTTATAATAGGTTGGCTTTTAAGGCCGTTATTAATAAACTTTATGAATCGAACACTTTTTACCAATTCCAAAATATTTTATTAAAAAAAGGCTTCTTCACGGTCGTAATTTAATAATAAAAACTCATTACGTGATCGTTGCAAACTAACAAAATGGCGAACATATTAGTCGATGGACTAATATTACTTTACAGGCTTATCAGCCTATAAATTAATTTAACCAACCAAGAACTGATGTATACATTCTAACATGTAAATTAGTAGAACTACCAATGTAAATATTACCATTTACCTTATTTACTCAACGATATACAGCTACTTTATTACGGTTTTCTGTTAGGATACGTATTTTGTCCACATCAGCGTTATCATAAATAACAACTGGCTTGGAATTACCAATGTTACCTGAAGAAAAGGATCTAGAAAAAGTATTTATCGTTTGTAGAAAGAATGTTATAGTCGCTTTTAATTTAAATACGGAGGTTGACATTCATTATTTTAGAGGTTATCCTTTCTATTCTATCACTGAGTTAGGGTGCGAGCCTTTCAGTGGCCCGAGTACCTTTCTACTTGTACCTTGCTTGTAGCTGCTACGGGTATATACTTGCTATAATTTACTCGTCTATTATTCAAATTAGTTAATTTGAAGGTAATAAAATAAGAACGTCTTAGAAAACTGTTGTGATGTACCTGAGATATATTTAGCTCACAACAAAACTAAATATGTTTTATAAAAAAAAAATATACTATCAACTTCATAAAATTATATTATCCTGCTGTGTTTCCACAGAGGTTTGACTATATCTTAAGCTTTCGCCGATCACCATCTAGTCGATGAACTGCACACCACAATAATACAAATTATTATGCTGCTTGGCTGCGGATTACCCATTCACTTTCGTAATCAATTTCGATTTTACCATACCGCGAGTCATTACCTGCGCCACAAAATATGTTACCATTTTTGCTTGGTTGAAATTGCTTTAGGGGTTTCCCGTCAATTTGACGATTTTTAGCAGAAGGTTCACTTCTACTTGAGCTAATTAAAGAGGCTCATTTCTTTATATTACCCATTCGGCCTTTTATAAGCCTGACCATGGTAAGATCACTACTCTTCGGGTCTCTAATTAGATACTAATTCATTACTTAATAACTGGATTATCTAGGCAAATGGATTATTTTTCGTGTATCTTTATAACTATTCTATATCACCACTAATCATTATTTGCTTGGCGTTGGCTATTACCAGACAGGTAAGTGAGATACAAAAGGTACGCTCTCATATGTTTATTAAACTTACCTTGAGCTGCTTATAAGACTACTATTTTAAAATATTCCTTCACAGTACTGTTCTCTATTTCTTGTATATTATATTAAGGCTTAGAGGAAGGTTCCCCTATATTCAAACAGATTAATCTATTTTACTTTAAGCCGCTATCTATTTTCATTCACACTACTAATAGAATCTCGTTTGATTTATTTTCCTGAAGCTAATAAGATACTTCAATTCACTTCGTTTTTTTTTCATTTAAAATTTTTAACATATTATGGTGTTCATGTATAAAAATTGAGAAATTCTTCCACCTTTCCGCTAATAAATGAAAATAACTTCACTCTTATTACGGTACTATAGGTATAATATACAGCTTAATCTTTTGCTATAATAGTCTCTTTATATACTAGCCATAAAATTAATCCTTAAAATATTACACAAATTCATGTTTAGTAGCAAAGTACCTAGGCATCCAAGAAATCGATTCCTAAGTTTCGAGACATTTCTAAGATAGATTCCGTACATACCATCTGAAAAGGTATACCAATATAATTAAGGTAATAAAATTATGAAATAATACATTACATATCAAATACCTTACTATATATTTATAGGTACAATAATTTAAAATCCTATTTCGGGTTATTATGATTCGAACATAACAAATCCTCAACCCAAATGAGCGCGCCTAACCAACCTGGCTCTAACCCGTTTATAACGTAGAATATACTTTATAAGGTATAACTTATTTATAACATAGTTATACTATACCTAAAAATATTGTATTAGATCCTTATAATATATCCTTATATTATATAACAGATAGTCTATAATAATATAACAGAGAATATCCGACTCGAACGGATGTGATTTTTCAACCAAATAAGTGTAGCCTAATACACAACTCTTTTTTTTTTTCATGACTATCCTACGCGGGCCTTGTCTCGCAGCAGGGTTGAAAAAAAAACATGTCTATGTTATTTTTTTTTTCTACCCATGTTTGCAGGGGACTAGTAACTAGGGACTAGATAACAATTCTGTTGGGTCTTTTTTCTTAATAGAATATATACCCCTAAAAAGCTTTTGATTTTTTATGTAACATATTATTTGAGAATGAGATGTACCAAAAAATTCTGCTGCTTTTCTCATAGTTGAAAACTCATAAATTTCATTAATTTCTTTGTTGTATACAGTAATTGGAGTAGACTTAGGGTTATAATTAGACATCTTTAGTTTAGTTCTTCCGGATAAAACTGTACCTAATCTAGCACTACGTTGTAGCTCCTTTGTTACTTCGCTATGAATGAATCCTTGACGGTTAACTGCAAACTTTAAAATATTGTACTCAGGATCTATTAAGTCAATATAATATTGTTCTCTTTCAATCAAAATACTCGGTTAACAATGCTCAATTATTTCAAAGCTGAACTCTGATAGACCGTATTTTAATATAGCACGATATATCGCACTCTGGTTTCTTTCTGTTTCTCTTAGCAAACAAGACTTTGAAAATTATTTTACCAATATTTGTGATATATTCAAACTAGATCCTACATATTTTTTACCTGAGGCTTTGTGTGTTCATAGATATATACCTGTTTTCCTGTTATTATTGTTATATATTTCTTTTTTTGAAGCTTCTGTATATTCATAAAAAAAATAAAGATTTTATCTCTTTCGATGTTAAATTGTTATTAGTTGTATTTTTCATGCAGAGAATATCCGATTCGAACGGATGTTGGTTTACACCAAAATAAGTTTCAAGCTTATCACTATAGGCCACTCAGTCAATTCTCTTTTTTTTTATAGGTATATAATGTGTTGGCATGTTACCACTATAAGCCAATAAGTCAATTCTCTTTTTTATACAGGTAAATAATGTTTGGCTATTTTATCACTTTAAGCCATTAAGTCAATTCTCTTTTTAGTTTGTATAGGTTCTGTCAATAAAATATATTTATCATTATTAGAATATAGGTGTGTACAATTCTATCTTAATAGATAGATTAAATAG